GTACGAAATGCAGATTTAGAAGCATGGTTCTAAATACAACAGCCATGAAGACTGTTCAGGGAGAATATGAGGGAAAGGGAAGATTAGGATGGAGTGCTACAGAACACCAAAGTGAAGTGAAGGACCGACCAGGAGGGAAAGCGCCCACGTGTGAAGGTGACAGGAAACAGCTGGAGTGGTGCGCCAACCAGGAGAGAGAAGGTAACAGGAAGGCACAGGAGAATCTCAGGAAGACCGTGATACTCAACAGCAAACTCGGAGTACACAGAAACTCTGATTCACAGGGTACAGAGTAGCAAGTACTTACAGCCCCTATGAATAAAAACTAAGCACTCCATCATTTGTTACCACATCTGTAAAAATTACCAGATAGATTTTTACCTGATCTGAAGGCCACGTGTCACATAAAATGTTCACCATGAAGTGAACTGTCAAAGTCTAACAGTGGTTCCAGCGAAGAATACTGGAGGTTTTATTTGACCAGAGGTTGGCAAACTACAACTCATGGCCAAATCTAGCCCACTGCTTGTTTTTGTGGTAAATAAAGTTTAGTCAGAACACAGCCATTGGCATTTGTATTCCTCCGGCTGCTTTCAAACTATAGTATTATAGAACAGTCACTGAAGAGGTGAGACTGACAGGATCTGATAAGTGGCTGAATCGAGGATGAATGACTGACTCCCAGGTGTCCAGGATGACTGAGTAGACTGTGAGGCCATTCATGGGACAAGGAACAGATGATCTGACCAGGTGAAGTGGTTCATGCCTGTAACCCCAGCACTTCGGAAGGCCGATGTCACGTAGTTAGTTGGGGCAACAATCCCATGGCCCGTGAAGCCTGAATATTTGCTTCTGGCTCTTAGCAGAGGAAGCTGGCCAACTGCAGTATTATGTCATTACTGACAGATTGTGCCATCCTAGGATGAAAAGACAGCGCCCAGATGAACAGAGGGCAAAGAGGAGTTTGCTGCTAAGTGGCTGACTGGCCACTAGAGGCCTCATAATGGGTGGTTAACTTGCTGCATTCAACCTGGTCCAGGGTCTAGCTCTGGGTTTTACCGTCTCAAAACCTTGAAAACTTGGGAAGCTGCTATGTGTAGCCTCAGTGAGCCATGTATGAAGACACTAGAACATACGAATACCATATTCCTTACTGGGAAGCCTACCCAGCTAGGTCACCCTCCACTATAGGCTCTAAGTCCCAACACATTAAAACTTTAGGGTGGTATCAACTCATGCACCCTGTAGTAAGGGGAAGCCTTTGTAATCAGGGTAGAAATCCAACCACCATCCTTATCTCAGAAATTAGCAGGACCGATCTTGTTAGCCCTGCAGCATCCCTCCTACCTGTCATTGCCGGAAGGTGAGGCTTCCTAAGTCACCTATCAACACATGAACCTCACACTGCTCTGTACTTTCCATTAAAATCTAATTTCTGATTCCTCTCCTGTCCCAAACCTCTAAGCTCTGTCCTCTGAAATCCCTGCTCATCGATCAATAAGCTATTAACTTTAGAAAAACATTTCTGTCTTTTTTTTTTTTTTTTTTTGAGATGGAGTTTCGCTGTTGTTACCCAGGCTGGAGTGCAACGGCACGATCTTGGCTCACCGCAACCTCCACCTCCTGGGTTCAGGCAATTCTCCTGCCTCAGCCTCCTGAGTAGCTGGGAGTAGCTGGGATTACAGGCACGCACCACCATGCCCAGCTAATTTTTTGTATTTTTAGTAGAGACAGGGTTTCACCATGTTGACCAGGATGGTCTCGATCTCTTGACCTCGTGATCCACCCGCCTTGGCCTCCCAAAGTGCTGGGATTACAGGCGTGAGCCACCGCGCCCAGCTGCCTTCTTTTACTCTTCCCTGACACATGACTTCTCTGGCAGCCCCTTCAGCTGGAAACACTTTTTGGTCTCACACTCCTAATTTGTCAGGGCCAGGAAGGAAAATACCATCCTTCCTTTTCATTTTTGCTGCCATGAGTTTGCTCCTCTTTCCCTCTTGCAAATTGTCCTGCTCCTTGGAGGTGTGTTTCCATATAACTACACATGGTCCAGCCGCCACTCTGTGTTGCCACCTTAAAGTCCCTCTTAAAGTCATAATCACACTGAAAGTCAATCCCTCACGTGCTCTTACTCAAGAAAGCCATTTTGTTCCTGGCTCATCAGTCTTTCTTTCCTCCTCAACTACCGTCATCTTTTTTTTCTTTCTGAGACAGGGTCTCACTCTATTGCCCAGGCTGGAGAGCAGTGGTGCAATCACAACTCACTGCAGCCTCGATCTCCCCAGGCTCCAGTGATCCTCCTGCCTCAGCCTCCCATGTAGTTGCAACTACAGGTGTGTACCACCACACCCGGCTAATTTTTGGAGACAGGGTCTCGCAATGTTGCCCAAGCTGGTCTTGGATGCCGGGGCTCAAGCGATCCACCTGCCTTGGTTGGCCTCTCAGAGTGCCACTGCGCCCTGCTCTTATCCTCTTTTTAAGAGATGTCAGCATCACACAGGCGAACAAACACATTAATTACGTCCTAGATAACTCCAACTCAGTTACGTTTCCTATGATCAAATGCTCCACTTTATCATCAGCAAAAACAGAGGGAAGAATGGGACAAAAGCAAAATTTGGAGATAGAGAGCTAATGGTTAAAACTTTTCCAAAATTGAAGAAAGACACACTGAGCCATAGATTCAACAAGTGTCATTGTAAGAAAAAAAAACGTGTCAAACCCAAAGCAGAACAAATAAATACATATGCACGCAGATCAAAGTAAATGTTCTGAAAACAAAACTAGACATCTTTAAAAGCAGCCAGAGAATGGGGGAAGAACACAAAACTGAGGCTGACAGCTAACACCACCAGCAAGAAAGGAAGCCGAAAGACAGTGAACCACCAAGCCACAATTCTAGATCAAAGTCTAAATTTTGTCTGAAAATTAAGGTTCAAGAAATTTTCTTTTCCAGATGAATCAAAACTGAATTTGCTCACATCCAAGGAAGTTCATCAGGCAAAAGAAACATGATCTGACCAGGTGCAGTGGCTCATGCTGCAATCCCAGCACTTCAGGAGGCCGAGGTAGGCGGATCGCTTGAGGCCAGGAGTTTGATTCCAACGTGGCCAACATAGTAAAACCCCACCTCTACTAAAAATAGAAAAATTAGCCTGGGGTGGCGATGTTGCACATCAGTAATCCCAGCTACTTGGGAGGCTGAGGCAGGAGAACTGCAATGAGCTGAGATTACACCCTTGCACTCCAGCCCAGGCAACAGAGCAAGACTGTCTCAAAAAAAAAAAAGAAAAAAGAGGCCGAGGTGGGTGGATCACAAGGTCAAGAGATCGAAACCATCCTGGTCAACATGGTGAAATCCCGTCTCTACTAAAAATACAAAAAATTAGCTGGGCATGGTGGTGCGCCCCTGTAGTCCCAGCTACTCCGGAGGCTGAGGCAGGAGAATTGCCTGAACCCAGGAGGCGGAGGTTGCGGTGAGCCGAGATCGCGCCATTGCACTCCAGCCTGGGTAACAAGAACGAAACTCCGTCTCAAACAAAAAAAAGAAAAGAAAAAAGAAACATGATCCTAGACAGAGCACTGCAAAGATAGAGGGAGAATAATGATAGAAAGGAGAAATTCGAGGGAGACTAAATGAATACTGTGTAAAACAAAATGTCTTGTAGGGTCAAAAATATACAGAACTAAAATAAATGACCATAATGACACAAAAGGTATGTGAGTAGTAAATGAAGCATAAATATCCCAAGGTCCACGCATTGATAGAAAAGTGATACAACTATTAATTTATATTAGACTTCAATAAGCCAAGGATGCAAGGTATAACCAGCAGGGTAATGCTTTAAAATGAGGCAGCTCATGCCTGTCGTCCCAACATGCTGGGAGGCCAAGGTGGAAGAATCCCTGAGGCCTGGAGTCTGAAACCAGCCTGGGCATCACAGTGAGACCTGATGCTAATTTTTTTTTTTTTTTTTTTAATTAGCTGAATATGGTGGCACGCACCTGTAGGCTCAATTACTTGGGAAAGTGAAGTGGGAGGATTGCCTGAGCCTAGGAGTTAGAGGCTGCAGTGAGCTATCATCTCACCATTGCACTCGAGCCTGGGTGACACAGCAAGACCCTGTCTCTAAAAGGTCAATGAATGTATCTGAATAAAAATGAAGAAGATAATACAGTAGGAGAAAACGGAATCAAAGATGTTTGGTTAATCCAAGAGAAGGCAAGAGGAAAATGAACACGGCACTGGTAGGAGAAATAGAAATCCTAAGATGTTAGCTTTAAATCCAAACATATTCATAATTAAATTGAACATATAAAAAGTCTATAAAAATACCTACTAAAAATACTACTATCGACTCTTGTAGGATGTAGCTAACACTGTGCTTAGAGAGAAATTATAACCTAACTTCTAGTGTTCGTGCTAAGTATCAATCTCAAAAAAATTGCAAAAATAATAGCCAGTTAAAACCCCCCAAAGTAAAAGAAACTAATAAATGTAAGAGGAGCAGTCTATGAAAAAGGAAACAAAATTAGTACAAATCAAAGATTAATAAAAGTGGTCAATATGTAGAAAGACCCATATTTAACTTTCTTTCTTCTTTCCTTCTCCTTTTTCTTTCTCTTTCCTTTCTTCCCTCCCTCCCTCCTCTCTTTCTCATCTTCTCTTCCTTTCTAAGAAACAGGGACTCACTATGTTGCTCTGGCTGGCCTTAAACCCCTGGGCTCAAGCAATCCTCTCGCCTCAGCCTCCCAAGTAGCTGGGACTACAGATGCATGCCACCATGCCCAACCTAGCTTTAATTTTTTTTTTTTTTTTTGAAAGAGTTTCGCTCTTGTTACTCAGGCTGGAGTGCAATGGCACGATCTTGGCACACTGCAACCTCCGCTTCCTGGGTTCAAGCAATTCTCCTGCCTCAGCCTCCCAAATAGCTGGGACTACAGGCATGTGCCACTATGCCCAGCTAATTTTTGAATTTTTAGTAGAGACAGGGTTTCACCATGTTGACCAGGATGATCTTGATCTCTTCAGCTTGTGATCCACCCACCTCGGCCTCCCAAAGGGCTGGGATTATAGGCGTGAGCCACTGCATCGACCTTTAATTTTTAAGAGAGAAAAAGTAGTGTCAGGAAAGAGAAAAGACACGATACCACAGAAGCCACTTAACTCTCATCTTTCAGATCCCAGCTTTTAACACTTGGACAAGAAGGGGCCTCCCCACTCCTGCTGTTAGCTTTCTATTTTATCCTCTCCTACAACCAAAGCTGTTTTCTTCAAGAGTTTCAATCTAAAATTATGTACATGAATCTAAGTGTTAATCAATTACTGTGTCTCCTGTACCAGTCTACACTTAAGGAGGAGAATGATCATTCAGCAGTGAGTTCCCAGTGCCTAGCAGGGTCCAGCAGGTGAGAGAGACCCAATAATTTATTCAACAAATACTTACTGAGTGCCCACCATTTGCTAGGCACAATATCAGGTGCTGGTAATACAATAAACAAAATAGACAAAATTATATGCCCTCGTGGAGTTTACACTCTAATGGAGGGAGAGATGAGCAGAAAAACAAACAGAAACAAAGCAGGGAAAGGCGAGTACAGGGTTGAAGGAACTGCAATCTAAACTACATTCAAAATGTAAAGTTGGGTAGTCAGGCAGGGAGACCTCACTGAAGTCAGAAAGCAAGGCACACATGCCTGGCGGGTGTGAGGCACAGCCAGGAAGCCAGGGTGCATGGAACAGAGTGAGCAAATTAAGGGAGGGAAGAGGAACACGAGATACAAGAAAAGAGAAACAGAGTTTCGCTCTTGTTACCCAGGCTGGAGTGCAATGGCACGATCTTGGCTCACTGCAACCTCCGCCTCCATTACACTCTAATGTAATAAGAGTCTTTAGGCCATGCAGATGACTTTGACACTGAATGAAATGGGAAGCCAAGGGGTGGTTTTGGCCACTGTTTGTGTGTGTGTGTGTGTGTGTGTGTGTGTGTGTGTGTATAGATCGAGTTTCACTCATTGCCCAGGCTGGAGTGCAATGGCACAATCTTGGCTCACTGCAACCGCCACCTCCTGGGTTCAAGCAATTCTCCTGCCCTAGCCTCCCAAGCAGCTGGGATTACAGGCATGACCCAACATGCCCAGCTAATTTTTTTAGTAGAGACAAGGTTTCCCCATGTTGGTCAGGTTGGTCTGGAACCCCTGACCTCAGGTTATCCGCCTGCATCGGCCTCCCAAAGTGCTGGGATTACAGGCGTGAGCGCCCAGCCCACGGTTTATATTTTTAAAGGATCACTCTGGCTGTAGTATTGAAAATAAACTATGAGGAAGAAGGATGGAAATAAACTCAGTCCACTGCTGCAATGATTCCAGCAGAGACTATGGTAGCTTAGGGCAAGATGGCTGCAATAGAGGTGGTGAGAACTGGTTAGGCCCACAATATACTTTGAAGGTAGAGCCACCAAGACTTGCTCACAGATTGGGCGTGCAGTGTGAGACAAGAAAATGGTCTAAGATGATACAGAGCTGACTTCAGTAGCTGGGAAGGAAAGTTGCTATTTTCTGAGTTAGGAAAAGAAAAGGCTTCAGAGACCAGGAATTCAGGATCAGGAATTCAGTTTTGGACAAAGTTTGAACTGCCTTTTAAATAGAAATGTCAGATAGGGAAACACATAGATGAATTTGCAAATCAAGTTAGAGATAAAAATTTTGGAGTTGTCAGCATATAGCTTGGTATTTAAAGTCATGAGACTGACATCAACAAGTAACCTTTGATAAATGCATCAATCCATTAATCAATGACCAATAAACATATGACTATTAGCCAGCAGAGCTGTCAAGGATGAACAGGAGGTGAACTCTGGGGACCTGAGCTTTCCGTTGGAGTGGAACCACAGCTATGCTGTTGTTTTACTTATTATTATTTTATTTTTTTGAGACAGGGCCTTGCTGTGTCACCCAGGTTGGAGTGCAGTGGCACGATCTCAGCTCACTGCAACCTTCGTCTCCTGGGTTCAAGCAATTATCATGCCTCAGCCTCCCGAGGAGCTGGGAAGGCATGTACCACCATACTCAGCTAATTTTTGTATTTTTAGTAGAGATCAGGTTTCACCATGTTGGTCAGGCTGGGTTTGAACTCCTGACCTCAGGTGATCTTCCTGCCTCGGCCTCCCAAAGTGCTGGGATTACAGGTGGGAGTCACTGAGCCTGGCCTGTTGTGTTGATTTTTAAAGAATCTTCCTTTGCCTTCAGATATTCTCATACACCACCTTGAGAAAAAATTGCATAGCCAATATGAACACAAGATGTGTTTCCTCAGTTACCTCTTATTTGATTTCCAAATTTGGCGGCTTTCCCTTTAATTGAAACCACCTGCACTGAGGTGAGACAGCACCTTGAAATGATGCTGTGCATGTCTTATCGACACCTTGTGGAAAGTGAAGATTACCCTAACCATTCCTTTGTCTAGATTTGACTCTTAAATCAACCCAGGCCACCAGAAAGCTATGTCTTTGGACAGTGCAGTCTCTCCTAGGTCAAAGCGCTTGCAGTGAGTTTCATGTTGGCATTATCTTAGGAATTTCAAAAGGAAATGGTCATATGAGTGCCTTTGCTTCATTTGCTCTAGCAGTCTTGATGAAAATACTATCTCCCTGTCTCTGTGTCCTTTACGTGAAACCCTACAAGAGCTTTCTTTCATAATCAATGGGAAAACTTTACATTCCTTGAAGAGTTACAGGCAATGTTTCCCTTTTTTGGCAATACTGCCATGAAGTATACAGTGTTTGATCCCATTTATACGATCTTCTAGAACAGGGAAAACGGTGGTGGAAATAAAAAATCGCAATGATTATCTCTAGGAGGTTGGGGGTAGGGAACTGATTTGGCAAGAGGCATGATGAAACCTTCAGGGTTTTACTAACGTAGTAGCAAAGTATCAAGGGTCATCAACAGTTGCACTTTTGAGAAAGAACTGTCGCAGGAGCTATCCTTGGACTCTACCCGCTAGATGTCAGTACTACTAATCTATCCCTACCCTGCCTGGACACTGTCCAATGTTCCCTGGTAGGCAAAGCCACCACCCTATATAACTTGACAGAGTTTTGGCTTTCTCAGGGGTACACATTCATCAAAATTCAGAAAATACACATTTCAAATCTGTGTATTTCACTGTATATGTATTTTGGCTCAAAAGAAAATAAAATGTAAGCAAATAATGAACTCATGATAGGCATGCTAGGAGAAGGTTTTTAGCGACGGTTGGAGGATATAGGGGTAGGTATTTGTATGGCAAATAAAAATGCAAATATAAGTGAAAATGTTAACAGTAGAATCTGAGTAGTGGGTATACAGGCATTCTCTAGAAAACCCTTTAAACTTTTCTGTATGTTTTAAATTTTTCCTAACAAAATGTTGGGAAATTTTATCATGGGAGAGGAAAGAGCGTATGAGACCCAGTGAGTAAGTAGCTGAGCAAAGATGAGGAACATGAAAGGTCTGGCAAACTGCAGTTACTCCCAATGCCTGGAGTGTAGTATATCAAGGAAGACAAACCGTGGAGAGGCTTACAGGAATTCTGACTGTCCCATGCAGGCAAAAAGCACTTTACACTACACCTCATAGCCACATGCGCAGCACAACGGAAGGATATGAAACCTAGAGGGACGATGAAGCCTAAATCAGTGCACTGAGGACAGGCAGAGGGAGGGGCTGCAGACAGGAATCATTAAAGAAGCAAAATCAATAGGACTTAATCACCAATTGGATTAGAAATGTGAGGATAAAAAAAAACAACAACAGAGGTGTGAGAAAGCAACCAGGACACTTTTTTTTTGTCTGGTTGGAGCTCTTGTGTGTGTGGGGTGACGTCTCACTTTATAAAATGAGGAAATAAGTAAAGGACTAATTATGTGATATTCTAATACTGTCAACTAATATCCTTGAGACCTGAAACTCCTGGTGTAGGAGAAAAGGCATAAGATACAGCAGAGAAAATAAACACTCTGTAGTCCTGAATTTGAATAGGGACTGTTTTAAAGATAAAACATGTCCTGTTATCTTAGAAAAAAGATATTTCCTATATCTCAAACAATGACCAATCTATAGCAATAAGATCTAGCTTGTGATCTTCTAATTCCATTTATCCTAAAGAATCAATCTAGGACTCCTCAGAGAAATGGCTAGTTTCAGGCAGGAGGCAGGAAGTGCACACAGTGAACTAAGAACATCCGGTCATACCAGACAACAAGTAAGCTACTGAAGGCATCTCAAGTCAGGACTCAGAAGAAGGCAGGGAAGTCTGAGCATCAGTAAGGGTAATAAACACAGCAGACCGAAGCACATTAAACATGTTTAAATGGTCAACAAGGGAAATGCTAGGGAACCAACTCATTATTTTCAAAATTGGTAAATAAAGAGAGAAAAACCAGGCACATAACCTGCCTTTTCTATGCAAACTGTATCACTGGGTAATCAAGTAGTAGACAAAAGGAGGTTTCCATTCTTTTTTTTTTTTTTTTTTTTAATTTTCCATAGAGTCATGGTCTGTCACCCAGGCTGGAGTGCAGTGGCACAATCTCAGCTCACCATAACCTCTGCCTCCTGGGTTCAAGCGATCTCCTGCCTCGGCCTCCTGAGTAGCTGGGATTACATGCATGCACCACCATACCCAGGTAATTTTTGTATTTTTAGTAGAGACAGGGTTTCACCATGTTGGCCAGACTGGTCTCGAACTCCTGACCTCAAGTGATCTGCCCACCTCAGCGTCCCAAAGTGCTGGGATTATAGGTGGGAGCCACCACGCCCAGCCAGGAGGTTTTTTCTTATGCAAGTATTGCAGCTAATCCATGAAGAATGAATGATGGAATAGCACCATTTTGCAACACCTAATAAATTAGTGGATTTAGGCACTCAACATAAATAGCCTTGCCCCCAATCATGCCTCTACTATGAAACCTCTAGATCTAACTACCAATTTCCCAGATGGTGGGAAACTATTAGAACAAAAAAACTGGTTTCTTTAATAAACTGCAAGGTGTGGAAAGACAAAGGGAGAACATACAGATTAAAGGCACCATCAGGCCAGGCGTGGAGGCTCATAC